CGCATGCCAACAACCACTTTCTTGGATCTTCAGGACTGGATAACTGAGCACAGTCTACTCTTACCATCTTGGCATATAAGTGTTGAAGAGTAACTAGTTATGTTTTTGTGGACTATTGGCTACAGGACATCAAGCAGAGAGGTACAGGAGCAGTTTCAGCATAGTGGAGACACTATTTCATGGTGAAAAATTGTTTTGTTTTATTATAAGTTGCTATTATTATAGTGTATCTAATGTTTAATCTATTATGTAGCTATTTTCACAAGGTTGTTGGTTGAGTGTTAAATAAAAGCTTAAATTTCAAAAGGATTGAAGGCACTGGTAAAAAAATTTCACAAAGCCCTAAAGTGAAAATTTTTCGTGTTTGCCACTAGTGAATGGTGGTGCCCAATTGGCAACCGTTCCCACAGGTCCGTCCATTTCACACTGGAACGGTCCAAAATGGACCCAGCGCAACCGAACAGGGCCTTAGCTCTTTTAGTCCATTTTGTAATTAATGAGTGTTGTCGATTCTGGGCCCCCGGATTGAGGTGGGATCCCTAGGAAGTCTGGAATTACGGGTGGGATTGGAAAAAAGTAAGTAAGAGTCTAAGCAAGCCGATTCAGGCTGAATAGTGGCCGCGTGTGAAGTGCAGCTTATCACGACCTGAACCAGAGGTGAGGAAACTTGAGAAAGTCTTTTCTTTTTTCGCAAAAAAAAAAAGAAAAAGCCCACTGAACTCTAGCGCATGTACAAGTATCTATATTAGTGGGGTACAGTCCTGCCCTACGCGGGCGACCATTTTTTTTACCGCAACTACTTGTACTCTGCGGGTACTAGAACGAGTGCTGGTATTGTAGCGTACACTGCGCTTGGATGATACGGGTATTCCGCCAAGTTTTGGCGGAAGGATTAGTCCGGTTCAATCTCTCAAGAATACTCGAGTAGAATCCCGTGCTCTGAGTCGTCCAGAGGGTGGTGTGCAAATCCCCGGGGCCAACGCTCCTTGCCTTTGATACCCGGTGCTTACCACCCACAGGGGCGCAAGATGGAAGATAGCAGGTGACTAGACTACGAAAAAAAGTGCCCCCTCCGGATCCCTGTTCGTCACCCGCAGGTTTGGTTATGCCATCCATGGCCGGCACCTCCGACTATTCCCAGTCCTTTCGTCCCAAGTGTGCTTAGGCGATAGTATATCATATTGCTATTTTGTTGGCGAACATAGACATCTAGAGCGAATCTTGGCGCTTCAGTTGAGACAACAGACCTTACTAGGAGAGGCAACTCCAACGTCCTACGGGCATTTCTGTTCTTGCAGTGTTGCGGCGAAAGCGAACACAACACCAGACCTTTCACTGGAATTATCGTAAAGTTGAAAGTCCCCGACTGCACGTAGCACATCCTACCTTGAGCCTTTTCCACGAAGCATCCCGCTAGTGACACCTTTTTATTTAACAGCTTTCATGGCGAAAGAAAAGAAACACCCTGCGGTATGCGAATCCGATCTCTAGCCTTTTGTTGGGTAATCCACCGATTACTCTCCGGGCATCGAAGCGGGCCCCTCCCCGAAACAGCACCCAAGCAAACGAAACGTGCCGTGAGAAGAGGGAAACCTTCGGGAAGAGTCAGAATCGCCTCGCCTTCGGCGCATAAGGAGAAACAAAGGAAAGCAATGTACGCGTACGAGTGCTGTACAGTAATGAACCATCAGATTTTCAGTTATTTCCTTTTTCCGCTGTTCACGGTTGGAAAGAGATTCTTTGCGCTGGCACTCTACCCTCGATTATAGTAGGGCGCTGTGTTCTAAGCACAGTACGAGTAGTGTATTGCGCTGAGGGTTCTAAAGAGACTGCCATCGCACTCGAGTAGAAGTGCAATAAAGCCTTCACGCCGGGTTGAGCTCACCCTCAAATGTACTCGAGCACACTCAGTGGTTTCAAACATTATTCGTGTTACTTGAGAATCACAAACGCAATGACCTGTGACAGTTTGTGGATGTTCCACAGCCTACCGCTACCGTATCACACTTCTAAATCCCACCTGTACGAGTACCGTAAAAACTTTTATGATTCGCCATCTCAGGATTCCTACAAAACAGAGCCATTAGCCCAAGATAGGTTTAGTTTGGCAAGTTGAGAAGATCAAACAAGGCCAAAGCACTTAGGCTATACTCATACTAGGTCAGGAAAGTACTGACCCTTCTTAAGAAACATTGTCTGTGCATCCCGAGATTCGCCACCTAACCGAGACGGCGAATCGTAAAAGTTTTTACGGTACTCGAGTACAATACTCGTAGACCTCAGCCCAGCCATTTTTTTGCCCCTTTTTTCTTTTTTCTTCGACTGTAGCAGGCACGGTTGCAGGGATCCCGGTACTCGAGCAACTTGTCATACCGTATTTCTTTCTTCGTTTCCGAATTTCACTGATGATTTGACCGCAGTATCATTTTAACAGGTGCAGAATGTCCTCTAATCCCTGTTTAAGTGAGATGTTTGCAACCATTATCTCCTGCACCGCTTAAATTTTGGAAATTATGTCATTCCTCTCGTCGTCTCAGACGACACAGGCTCTGGGCTATTATTGCTGTACAAGTACTGTACTCGTACAAGTACTAGTAGTTCTCATTGGTTCTCAACACAAGCTCGGTCTCCACGATTTTCCTTCCTGTACTTATACCGGTAAGAAATTTGAATTAAGACTTTCCTGACCCCACCTTTCACCTTCCTATTTAGGAACGTGAGAAGCGGGGTTCAACACCCTAAGCACATCTCACGATCCTGCCCGGCCACTGAATTTGGAGCTTCATAAGTGTGCTGGAATGACATCCTATGAGATTAAAACACTACCCTCCCTGGGCCGGTACTTCCAGGCTGGCCAGGGCAACAAATAAGAAAGGCTTCTTGGTCCTTAAAACAAGAAAAATGGTCTTCCCTGTTCTCCTTTTCCTGGACCATAAAAATGGAGACTCCTCAGCCGGGGAGGCCGTGCGCATAATAGGAGACTTGGAGATATTGGAGAAAACAACACGTCACGCACGAGAAATCAATTGCTACACAGCCGAATTCTTTCAACAAAAAAGGGGGTGCTTCCCACAGACCCTCTAGTGCTTAGAGTTAATGGTGTCCATATCCCCGGTTTTTGATTCCCCAGTGGGAATACGGTACTTGTATTTGCGATAAACTGTGTGCGATTTGGTCAGAAATAGTGGTTGCAGCGCCTTTTCGGGAGGGGAAACAGCTTGGCGTTGTCGAATTAGTTTGGCTGCGCTCAGTCTCCCCGCCTGATGAGTCTCCGTGAAGTGCAGGCAGCATCCCTTCGTCCGTTTAGGGGTCCTCTAACGCCTGTCTACGCGAGTACCGGTATGTGAGATGGTTGCAACCACTATTCTCCTAGGCTACCGGTACAATTTTTCTAATCTCGTCACCCCTCCCGTCATCTAAGAGAGCATGTGCTTAGGGTTACTCTTTCGTTCTCATCTGTTCTCGGTGTGCCATCGCACTTGCCGACGGGTAACTTGTCCCGGAGAGCGCGTGTTGGGGAGTTCTGGTAATGAACACCCGTTACTAATGACATTAGGGGCGGCGAAATCTCTGAGGTTCCTGTAGTCCAGGAGATACCGCTAGCTTTGTGCTTGAAAAGGAAGGAAGGGATTACTAGCAACGATTGCTTAACCCAGAGTTGTGATTTGGGCCAGCACACCTTTGCCAAGGCTGGTATCCGATGCGCGATAATGCGTGGTGTGAGGTGGCTCTCGCTTTCCGACCGTGTTACACCATTTTCAGGTGCATGCCGGGAGAAGGGGCAAATCTGGGTTGGGGATCACTTCGGGGATTCCCAGCTCTCAATGCACTGCAGCGGGGCCCGTAAGTCTGTGGAACACCGGCTGGCTGGCGCAGACCTCTTGGCAACTCAGAGAACCACATTCTCTATAGCCACTTAAAGAGAGCCCGACTGACTGTTTTCCTTCACCGAATGCTAGCGTAGCTTGCCGTGTAGCTACGGAGAAGAAGTGAAATAATGGTTACACTCAGATAACGACGACGAATGACAGAGCTGGCCGGACTTTCCCCCCACCACCAGTGCTTCACAAGTTTGGATCGTGCTGAGAAGATTGGAAGCCCATCCTCGGGTAAAAGGAAAGGGCCGTGATTGTGGATACCTCCTTAGCACTGCTGTAGATACTGCCGGCAGTGCTGGGGGGTGGGAAATGGGCGTAGGTGGGGCGGTTTTGGTTTTTACCTGCCAAAATTTGGTGGGTGTGGCTGGGGATGGGCTCGTCCATCTTGAGATAGATAGTTCGTAACTTGGCTTCGCTCCTTTGAGATCATCCGATGATACTCGGCTAGCATGAATCCCAACTCTTTAGGGTGCACCATAAGAGATAATTCCTGGAATTCGTTATCGAATTCTCGGCGGAAACCGCCGCCTCAGCTCACAACGGGTTGATCATGGGCTAACGGGACCTAAGGCTTCTCAAACCTAATTAAAACCTACTTCCAATTCTTCTTCCGTTCAAGTTTGAGCTTTCTAGCGAGCTTTTGTCACAAAACCGGGATTTGAATCCTGCACGCAGATACTCGGTTTATGAGTTAATACAAGGGTGGGGGGTGTCAACTACCTGTGGCTTGCTGCGGGGGTCCTGGGCCCCCCTCGAAAGCGTGGGGGAATTCGCAGTACAAGTATACTGTAGGTAGGGGAGTTACCGAACACTTAATTTAGGTTGGCCCGCAAGATAATCCCGGTCTTGTGCCAAAATACCCCCCCTCTGCCGTTGTATATATATATATATATGTATTTAGAAAAACGTTGAATTGGGACTCTACGGCCGGATTGCTAGAAAAAGTGATTATAATAAGAAATGAACTAACTTGAATCCAGAATAGATCCCTCCACAGCGTTTAATACTACTGCCCACATCTTAGCATATAGACGATCGCTGTGAGGAAGTTCCGGAAGAAATGGAGAAAAAATCTTTTCGCCCTCGGGGCTAGCAACATTGTATCCAGTAGATGCCATTGCGTTAGCAGAGGCGGGGGCATGTCTGAAGGTAACGGTGGTGAGAAACCTGACGACGCTTGTCGCCATCCGGATTTGGCAGGAAATTGCTGGCTCCTGCGGAGGCGGTATCAATTTCCGTGGATGTAGAGGCATTGAGGGAGCGTCCCGCGTGCAATGGTGATAGTAGTGGTGATGTGTGATGACTTTGGGGGAGTGATCCTTGGCCATCGGGGGGGAGAGTCATTGTGAGGGCTCTGGGGCTGGATGGTATATTCGGTATTGCCATCTCTTCCTGGCCTCTGCTTTCTTCTTCCATCCCCCCCCAGGCTTCTTCCGTCTCACTCGAGGTGCCTGACCAAGTCCATGACTGGGCACTTTCCGGGGATAGCGTAGGTGCAGCTTCTAAGGGTCCGCAACTGCTCCAATCCCCCGCCGCCAGCTTCACACGACTATCGCTTAAACGTCCTCTTTTAGTGCGTTTTCCTGAGCCCCGGATGATATCTCTTGAATCAAGGCTTAGATGGCGTGCTCTCTTCAATGGGCTTTCACTATGATCCTGTCGTTTCCGTTTATGCTTCCGCCTGCTATTTTGAGGGCTGGTTTTCCGGTGGACTTGTGCAGTTGGGTCCCAGGGATCTCTATTGGCCCCACACCCCTCCCCGTCGCCTTGGTCGTGTGCGCAATCACGGTTATAGGATCTAACTATGGGAGTGGAGCGGCGGCGCCGGATTCGGGGAATCCTGCACGTATTACGGGTCGAGCCAGGGTCTGATTGCGAAAGCAAAGGGTTTCCAGAAGACACGTCCACCAAAGGCGGAGTGACCGTTTCTTTGTGGGGGGGCTCCTCTACGCCCCACACAAGGCCTTTATGAGCATCAGTGACTTTTGTGAGATCCTCGTCGGAGATCCTGCCCATGTTCTGATGCCACTCGATTGAGTGCTTTCCAAGCGTGGTTGGGCATAGGAGATCAATATATCCGGAAAAAGACCCCGATGCCATTCTTATAGGGTCATAGATACCGCCATTTTCGTCGGGCGCAATTGGGTAGTAGGAATCTGGCTCTCTCTCATGATAACGACATGCATCGTCGAACGACCCGAATAACCCAAGTGAGACGAATGGCCTATATGAATGTATGAACAGAGATTGTGCTGAATGGGTCTCTTCAGAGGGGTACTCACAAACTGATAACGTATTTTTGTTTGCAAAAGAGCGCTACGTACGGCCTCGGTCTCAACTGTCGGACATCCGGAAGCGGGCAAGAAGCGAGAACCACATAGCCTGGGCGAATTTCGGGCATATCGCGGACACTAGCTAGTCGTCTTGATGAGGTATCCTCCAAGCCCATGTTTATGAAAGGGTGATAGCAATGGCGGAGCAGGAGGTCCAGGTTCTATCGATGATGGTAGCTGTCAAACTTCGAGGGATAACGAGAATGTCTGGGGGTGACTGGGACTTAGTGTCATCATGAAAGAGAACCGAGAGGAGGTGGATGGGGATGGATGGTCTTGGCGAGTGCTAGAGGCTGCTAGCCCTACTCGAGTAGTGAGTGGCCTTCGAAGGCGTTTGCTTTCGTGTGGGTCTGTTCGTCGCCAGTCAGGTTGCAAGTAATCCACCAATCGAAGTTATCCAACCACACAAATTTACCGTTCTCGTATTGGCTCCAGGTTAGACCCGCCGCTAAAATACACCAGGCAAGGAAACTTCCTAGCGATAAATAACTGAGGGGGGGTAGGCAGGGGTTATGGGTGTGCGCGCGGTATTTCAACGTCCTGAACGTGCTGTGACTGAACATTGGCTAAGTAAGGGTTTATGACAGTGAGGAAAATTGGTGAGAAAAGGAAAACAGCAAGAAGAGTGAAGTGACTTACGATCAGTTAACCCGAATATGCCAGCAAAAAGGGTCCCCCATGGGGGGGTGAATAAATATCGCGGACTCGACGGCACAGTCTCCTACGCTAGCGAACCCACGATACGCGTGTCAGGCCAATCCTCCCACTGGGCCGAGAGGCCGGCATCTACCCACCCCGCACTGGTACCTACAAGTAACTACGATCCGGCTGACAGATCCCCTGTATACTCGAGTAGTACTGGCGGTCACCGGTGGCCATTCCTGAAATTTGACGACCACTGGTCACCCCATTATGCCATGACTGCGGGTCATTGCAGGGGTCATTGCAGACAGGCCAAGACTTGGTAACTTAAATTAAGGGGAGTACAAGTAGAGCCAGCTCGGTAGGGAAACTTCGAGGACAACACCGTGACAGACTGGAAACCAAACTTTAGGGCCTGGAACCAGGTTTAGTTGTTGGACCGGTATGTCACACAGTCTTCACTGTTGGCACGGCGAAGCTGAGGGGGGGAACAGAAGGGGTACGGTATTTTATTAGCGAAAGTGAATTCGTCAAAGTAGGGTAACAAAAGATGGACTACTTAAGGATCCCTATTGGTCACCTGCCCAGTTTCGTTCTTTGTCGTGAGGTTACACAACAGGGGGAACTCCTGGACAGGCTGCAGCGCCGGAGGGCTAAGAATTATCAACATAAAGGCACATCTACCAGTTTGAGTTGCACCAGCGGTCTGTTCCGTGGGGGGCAGGAGGCCAGACATCAACAACCCTATCTTTTCAATACCGGTACGCCAGTAGTTGCTGGTACAATCAAAGTCACCACCCTGGAATCTAGTAGTAATGGACACCTCGCTATCCCCTCTCCCTTGAGGTCTTGATTTATTTCAAGACTCTCTTGGTTCTCATCCTGGTTGTGGTCCTTGGTTCTTACAATGTTTCTCCCCTTCCTACCCTGCCTCACTTAGGGGTTGGCATGGTCAGCAACCCTCTTACCGTCAGCAGCAGACGGCCGGCACTACAGTTTACAGTAAGAGAGAACAGCCTTCAGGCTTCGGTTGACCTCTCTGTTTTCTTGTTTCACTAAGAGGCTACCTAGTTAGACATGAATGTGATTACCACCTGCTACTGTTCACGGTCTTGGATCTACCCTTCCACTTTCCCACTCTATGGTTGGGTTGGCTGGTACTGCACTGCCACCCCCTTACAAGTTGGCATCTCCTTTTGGGTGGTTTTCCTTATACCCTTGACATCCCAGGCTTTGGCCCCCTCACTATAGCCCTCATCTTGGCCCTGGTTCACCAGTTCTCAGTTCTTGAGTTATGATTTTTGGCTCTTAGGGGTTTGGTTTGAGTTTCTGCCTTTAAGTGTGTTGGTCTTGGAGTTGTAATGAGTTCTTGGTTCACTATTAGGTAGTTAGCTTTTGTTTTTCACTTGGTAGTAGGGGTTATGGGGTGGAGTAGTTGATAGAAGAGATTGTGGATGGGAGTAGTTTTTTCTATCCCAGAGGGTTCTTTTAGCTCTGTCATTCAGCCCAGACCATAGGAGAGCAGTTTTTTTAGGTATCATAGCTAGCCCTCCATATGCCTTCCTGTCCCAGAAATAAAAATTAAAATGAGTCAAATAAAAAAAGAAAATCCTTAAGCTTTCAGAAGTATCAGGGAATGGAGAACAAATCTTATCAATATATTGGTTATACTTTAATACCTATTTTTATTTATGAGCTTTCTTGACTCTTCTCCAAGAAATCTCATTTGGCCCCAGTTACTATTTATTTTGACTTAGAATTAACTGCTGTACAACACTGAGTAGGATTAATGTACTTTCAGATTACTTTTTATTGAACGAGCTGTAGAACCGGTGGTAGCAATGGCAACAGCGAACGAACAGGGATCTGTCGCAACTGGGCCAATCAGAAGCCAGCTGAGTGATGGGCTATGAAATGAAAAGCCAAGCGTAATCATGCAAAAGGATCGCCTAAGGCTAAGAAAACCTTTCACTTTCACTCTCTCCCACTCCCTAACTATCGCTTGCTATTCTAACTAATGGCAAACATAGGAGACTATATCAACCACGGGGGACCCCCGAGAAAACCACAGACTCCCCTCACGCCCCTCAGGTAAGTCCTCCGCTTCCCTCTCTCAGGCAAACACGCAAACTTAACAAAAGGAAGACAAACTCGCGCCTCCCCCCTCCTCCAGGGAAGTCCCCGTATCCTGCGAGCAAACAAGAAAGAACTAACAATGGAAAGACATAACTTGTACTTCCGCTGTACGCCATTCCGCGGTGCTCTTCACCGTACCTTTCATGGTGCTCTTTCTCTCCGGGCATTCCTGCGCTCTCTTTGTGGTCCTCCACCGTGCGCTTTTCCAGCACTCTTCCTGCGGTCCTCCACCACGCGCTCTTACAGCGGTCCTCCACCGCGCGCTCTTCCTGGGATCCTCTACAGTGCGCTCTCGAAGCGCTCTTTGTCGTGCGGTCTGTCGTGCCCTGCCGTGCGCTCTCTTCTGTGCCCCAGCAGCCCACTCTCCTAACAATGGACAAACAAACAAACAAGGTCCCCCTATCCCCCATAGCTTCTCTTCTCTCCCGATGCCTTTCCTCCTGCACCTCCTGGTGCATTCCTGAAGCCTGGAGCGCTTCCCTGAAATCCAAGCGCGCTGCTGAAATACTAACAAAGAAAACTAACTAGCGGGCAAGCAGACAAACTATCGGGTGAACAAACAGGCAAGCAATGCGAGAAGGGAAGGAAGAGGGGGAACTGGAGGGGATAGGGAATGGGGATGGGAATAGGGATAGGAATGGGGAGAGAGAAGGGGGGAAAGAGTAGGAGGGTACTGGGCAGGTGTGGGGAGCAGCTTTGGACTTCCAACACTCTTAATATAAAGACCTCCTTCAGGTACTTTAACAGCTGTATATTTTCTGGGGACAATAAGATTGAATATACTTTGTTGTTAGGTCTATTAAAGGCTTTACATCAGCAAAAAAAAACTCTGCGTCTGATGCGTGGGTGGCGCGTCCTGACGCTGAGTTTTTTGTTTTTGTGTCCCCTGCGTCTTGTGCGTCCTGATTCTGGTTGCAACGCCCTACTGCGTCCCGTGCATCCGGGCTTCCAGCCCCTACGCCCCCCTACGTCCCCTGCGTCCCGTCACCACTCCCTCGCATGCTCACCTCCAGTACCCTCTGGCCCCTCGGTTGAACATCTGGATCATGTCCCTAGGTTGCTACTGCAAAACCGTCGCTCTGATCACAGCGCACGTGGCCTTGCGTCTGCCTCACCACCTGACGTTGAGCCCCGGCCTCCATCCTCAGGATTCCTGCCTGGCGCCCCCCTTTGTCACCGCGACATCCAGACCACGTCCTACGGCAGCTAACCCTCCTTTCAAACCCCTATGATGAGCTCCCAGTGTCACCCCCTCCTGACGCTCCGCTCCTGGCTTCTTTCTCCGGATTCCCTCATGGCGTCGCGCGACAATCCTACAATCCGTCCAGTTCCTCCTGCCTGCTCTCGCCACTTCGGGATAACGTCAGACTTGAAACGCAACACTCGCTACACTCCCGATTACGCTCTGCTGTGTTGTCTGATGGTGGCGATCCGTATGAGTGCCTCCCTACGTTGTCGCGATGTTCATATCAGCTGATAGACATCGGAGCCTGCCTCGCGTCCCCTATCCACGATATCGACAACCCCTCGTGGGCAAACATGTCATGGTTCCTCACAGCAGGTTTGCGGATCCTCCGGCGGATACTTGATTTCTAGCACTTTGTCTTAATCATATTCTGTTATTTCTACGTATAGCTTGCTATTAAGAGACCTTTATCATTCTATGCCCATATTGCCTGTTTGTTGTTGGAGGATTCATGTCTGGTGTTAGAAGTTCTGAGTATCGCATAATCAATGCGTCTGCACGACGTTTGTCAATATACTAGTATTTCATTAAACGTCCTTAAATCAATGCGACTGTTGACCAGCCATCGCCCGTCTGACTCTGGAACCAGGTGGGCTTGCCCAAGTATCATGCCTATGTCCACTATAGTAAACCTTCTCGCATCGGGTCTAAGCTAAATGGTGACAAGATCGTGTAATTCTGACGGACGCCCAGAGTTAACTGCACTCAAAATCTGAACACAAGCGAGTCGATGTATTGTCTTCTGGTGCCTACAATCTCGCAGTTTGAAGAGTACCATGAGCTTTCCCAGAAGACGGCTGCGGAGCGCACCATACATTTACTCTCCGCCTGCCTGGACCCAAACCCAATCATTCTGACTAGCCTGGTTTTGAAAAAGCCCGGATCCCGTAGATCTTGCCGAGTGGATGTCGTAAATATCGGTTTCCTGAAAGGCGGGAACTGGGATTTCGAGTTGCGTCAGTAGTTCAACTGGAAGGAGTTGAAGTATAGCAGGGTCGTCGGGGAGGCGACTCTCTGCGGGCAGCGTCTGGCGGCTATATTGGATCAATTCGGTACTCATGTTTTCGGTGGTGATACTCAGGGCATTGCAAA